CGATTAGGTGATATCACCTATTTGAATAGGTGATATCACTTTATGGCAGTTAATACCGAAACGGCGCCTCGGAGAGGAAACTGAAAATAATGGAATGTTTGCGACGGACAAAACAAATAGCAATAAATTAAATGAACTTAATACAACATTGAGTTCTTCGAGACCGGTCCTTTGGCTGAGACCGTATTTATAAACCGAGGTCCCGTGTCGTAGAAGATGCTGGCAAAAAAAGATCCCTCACTGTTCAATGGCCCTGAGTGCCGAGTATACGTCAAAATTTGCAGCTCTCCACCGCCAATTGGTGGCGTCTCCATATGAGTGAAAAATTCTGGAAAGGGACGTTAATCAAAGAACAAACAAACAAACACATTAAATAAATTCGTTATAAATGACCCCCCCCCCCCCAACCGAACAAGCATCCACATAGGAACACTAACTTTATCGGATTTTTTTTTTTTTTTTTTTTTTTTTTTTTTTTAGATTTTGGAATCTCGGAATCTCTCTCTCTCTCTCTGTATTACAAACTCAACGCACGATTAGAAAGGATATACACTTCTTTCATGAGTCTATAGTTATTATTTATATTTAAGGTATCTTTAACCCTATGTGACGTCATAGGTTTTGAGCTTCGTGGATAATAAGAATGATTCTCATTAAAAAAAATTGCTTTCATTTGGTGTAATAGAAATATTGTAAAAATATCTTTCAATAGTATATTTCTTTTATAGTTTGTCAATAGTAAAGAAAAAAGTTTGGCAAGGGCAATTACTTCTACTTATGTTTTTTTTTTTTCATACATGTTCATATTTATACTTCTAATTGAAAATTTCCATGATACTAGTATTAAGAATTTAAATATATTTATAAAATAATAGTTAAAAGTTAATATAATGATTATTTCGTAAATTCAAGCCGTTTTTAAGCATCTTTATTAAGGTTGTTTACCGAAATGTTCCATATTTACATTTTGATATATATGCTTATATTTTAATTTATGTCTGACATCTTTAAAAAAATGTTGCCTATGTATTTTATAATATCAAACAAAAGTTTAAAAAAATTATTTCTTCTTTGAAAAAAAGGTTTTGGATTTTCCTTTATTAAATATAGATATTATTTCTACATATTTATGGAGGATGAATTCTAAAATTAGAAGAACATTTCGTTTTAAATTATATATATTGATATCTTCTATATATTGGATATCATCTTCCACTTTTTTAAAATCCCCCGCCCCCTCCCCCTTTTTTGAAATTGCCGGATTCGTCTAAAAATTGGTGAACAACCTATCAACCCGAATTACTTACCACGCACATGTACATGTATTCAGTTTATTTCTAGTTGACAGATTATTTAATTTTTATGAAATAATTTTATTCTGAAATGACCATAAATGAACATGAAATTTCAAAAATGGATAACATTACAATTATTGAAATATGTATCAAAATATTAAACAAAGTGACAATCACTTTTCTCAATGATAACTAAAACATGTACGTCATATTGCAATGCTGTGAGGAATTTTAATTTCAATAGAGATTGGTTCATAGTAGTTCATTCATTGATGGAATCATAGGAGTTCATTCACTGATTCATTGTCTAGTATTCCCTTTAGGTGTTTAGTGATGCCTTTAGAGTTAAAGAAAAAGGTTTACAGAACTGAAAAAATATATTATGTAACATATCTACCGCAATAAAAATATTAAAAGTTGTAATATCAAGGAAGCTATGAGACTAGTGTTTTAAAATGTTCTTGTGTATATTAATTAAAATGTCTCCAAGCCCGATGTTTATTCACTTAGTATTACATGTGGTAGCTAAACACAGTTTCGTATAAAATCCAGGGGTTTTCCCAGAGAGAAGAATAATGGGAAGGGATTTGCCTGCTATTTATAGGAGGTCTATATATAAAAGGCCTAAAAACTGGAGTTCTATATCTCGGAAACTAGAGATGGTACCATCACCATTTTTTCACAGAAGTGGTAACTGACCACTAGTAGCCTACCCTCAAAATTTCAGACCCCGGGACAGGGGACTTCGATGTCCCCGAACCCGATGTTTATTCATATAGTATTATATAGTAGGCCTAAAAACTGGAGTTCTATATCTCGGAAACTAGAGATGGTACCATCACCATTTTTTCACAGAAGTGGTAACTGACCACTAGTAGCCTACCCTCAAAATTTCAGACCCCGGGACAGGGGACTTCGATGTCCCCGAACCCGATGTTTATTCATATAGTATTATATAGTAGGCCTAAAAACTGGAGTTCTATATCTCGGAAACTAGAGATGGTACCATCACCATTTTTTCACAGAAGTGGTAACTGACCACTAGTAGCCTACCCTCAAAATTTCAGACCTCGGGACAGGGGACTTCGATGTCCCCGAGCCCGATGTTTATTCATATAGTATTATATTGTAAGTCTAAAAACTGGAGTTCTATATCTCGGAAACTAGAGATGGTACCATCACCATTTTTTCACAGAAGTGGTAACTGACCACTAGAAGCCTACCCGCAAAATTTCAGACCCCGGGACAGGGGACTTCGATGTCCCCGAACCCGATGCTTATTCATATAGTATTATATAGTAGGCCTAAAAACTGGAGTTCTATATCTCGGAAACTAGAGATGGTACCATCACCATTTTTTCACAGAAGTGGTAACTGACCACTAGTAGCCTACCCTCAAAATTTCAGACCCCGGGACAGGGGACTTCGATGTCCCCGAGCCCGATGTTTATTCATATAGTATTATATTGTAAGTCTAAAAACTGGAGTTCTATATCTCGGAAACTAGAGATGGTACCATCACCATTTTTTCATAGAAGTGGTAACTGACCACTAGTACCCTACCCTCAAAATTTCAGACCCCATGACTTATGTCTAAATTTTGAATTGCGAACTGCGTTCTGGAATGCAGTTCACTTTTGAATTGCGAATTGCGAACTGCGAACTGCGTTCCAAAATCTGATTGCCTTGTCGTTCGGGGACGTTATGTGCAGAATTACACTTCAAATATTGCCACAAATCGGTACATATCGTAGCCCAATTGAAAAATAAACCTGCACAATTTGGCAACGACGACGAAATGTACAGAACCCATGTTGTGCGTATTATCGTTCAGATCTTCAGCGTTTAACGATTGTAATGCAAATGAACATTGACATCATCATTGCTATTTAATTATCAATCGATTAATGATTAAATTCAGTGGCTGGTCAATTGTTGCTGCCTACTCGGGAATATTTCACTCATAAAAAAAACACAACTAAATGTATGATAAATCATTTCAAATCATAAAGATCTTGGTAATCTTTGCATTTGTTGGAATTTTATCGATAATTCTTATTTATCACTACAAAAAAACCAAAGCGTTAATTAGTTTTGTCGTAGAATACTGGACTATTTTTACGGACATTAATTTTATGTTGGCTCCCTTTTAGAATCTTTGGACATATTTTGCCTGTTTTAGCCTGTTTATACTTTCAAACATGTACCATGAAAACTAAACTTCTTTTTTTAAAACCATATAGATATATCGACGACGTATTACCAACTAACAAAAGTTATTTCCATTGAAATGTCGACACTATAAACATGTATCCAAGTGAGCTTGAAATATAATAAGCCTAATATTCTTATATTTGAATATATTTCTTGAAAAAAAAGCTGTTAATTGTAACCAATCAACAAAGCTTTATGATAAGCATAATGACTTCAACTTTTTAATCGTCAACTTTCCTTACTTATGTAGCAATATATCCTCATCACCTCCATATGGAGTTTAAAACTCTCATCTGATTCGATACGCAAGAACATGCTCTACATACGAACAATTCCACAAAGTAAGGCAAAGTATTGACAAACAAGTTGATGAAACAAGAATATAAACAGTCTTTTTTACAGTCATCATTTCGCAAGATCTACGGTCGATACAATGACCTTGTCAGCAAATACTATCTTTCATTAAGTCAAATGCTGATGAACGTTTTCATACAAATTTTTAGGCCATTATTTACACATGAATTGTCTACAGATTTTTCAGTAATTTCTCGATCATGACATCGAAAACACGGCGGATGTTACGGTCGACAGGGGATGCTTACTCCCCAATGTCACCTGATCCCTCCCCTATTGTTTTAGAGTCCGTGTTTGCTCTCCTCCCGATTTGTATTGTTTAAATTTACTTTGGAACTTGAATGCTGTTTGTTATCTCAATATATTTCATGATCCCTGAATTTTTTGAGTCGCCTGCGTGGCGCAGTGGTTAAAGAGTCTGCTCTAGAGTGACTCGGAGTGAGGAGTTGATCCTTACGTCGAGGGTTCGAATCCACTGAGGAATGTTGAGACCGGTCCTTAGGATGAGACCGTATATACCGAGGGTCCGTGTCGCAGTAGGTGTTGGCACGAAAATCAATGGCCGGTGGTGCCAAGTATAGGTATTTTGCAGCCCTCCACCGGAAAGCGGTGGCGTCTCCATATGAGTGAAAAAATCTCAACTAGGACGTTTAACAACAAACAAACAAACTTAATTTCTTGATATGCAAAATTTTCCCGAACGATTTAAAAAGGTGTAATATTTCAGAAGTTACAGAAAATTTTACAGATATATAAAACATAGAATATGACACATATGTCACATATTCATCACAAAATAGGTACTGTATGTTAAATCAGTTTTCTTCTTTAAACAAAATATACGTTTATAAATGAAAATTACATAAACTTATTAAGAGAAAACTACTAGGAATCTCCGAATATTTAATGTACTTGATTATCCTACATCATTAATCTACCGTACTAAAATCAGTTATAAATAGATAAACATTTTACCTTCTGAAATAATATAAGCGGCATATTTTTAAATGATATAAATGATTGATGAAAACCCAGTTCTTTTTTTATAAACAAAATATCTATCATGTTTTAAAGATAGATGTAAAGATTTCTGCCTTACCATTGACCCCTCATAATTTCTTAGCTATAATTTTTAAGATAAACCACATCCACTTTTGAACTTTTCATGGTATTCCTACGCTAGTGGATACATCAACCTTACCTGGGTATCAAACTTTAATGGAGGACCAGAACAATTCTTTATCTTGTCAAACAAAGAGGGGTCCAGCTGGACAATTGTTAAAAATCTAACAGACCCTGGTGAAGGTAACATGGGATATTATGATCTAGGATCTTTATCCCCAGGAATCGAATACTTGTACAGACTGGAGAGCTGTAACAGAATCAATTGTTCTTTCAGCCCTAGGGAAGTTAAAGACAAAGTTCAAGGTGTAGTAATTTCTTTCATTTTACAAAGTTATCTCCTAATATTGAATAAAACTATTATTAATACTATAGAACTCTTTTTGTCAACACACTAGTGCAGTAAAAACTTCTTACAAAGACATACAAAGAAATCTTGCTTATAACATGGTAGGAAATTAAAGTATCGGAGGTCTCGAGCAAAACATATTTTAGTTATCTAAAATTTGTTGTGGCTTATTCTTTATGACTATGAATTAGTATCAAGCTTTTAAAAATGAAAAAAAAAGATACTTAACTTTAATAATTTCATTTACCGTGAAACTTTATTCTATAGCTATTTTGAGTTCAATAGGCAAAATATCGTTGAAGATAAATTCGGGAGAATTATCTAAATACATATTTTTTCTTAAAATGAAAAGAACTTCGATTTAAAAAAAAATCGGGCATTATATAAGGAAAATTCACTACGAAGAAATAAGTTAATATTTGACAATTTCATGTACTACTGATGACACATTGAAATATTGATTTACTAGAGATACTAAATTGTATTTTAATGTAGTATTTTAAGGGGCATGCATGTGAATAAATCATTTCAATGCTTCTATTCTAAAATTTATAATTAATAAGAATTAAGAATTATTGACACTACAAACAATGATTACGAAGTCTTCATTTTATTTAAAGCTCTACATGTATCTGCCTCGTCAGTTCTGTTCGGTAATACTACAATACTGATTGTGACTGGAGCTTCTGTGGCTGGTTTTGTCATTGTGTTGATTCTGACCGTTATGATGAAGATGTATTGTAAAACAAAAAAGACAGTCTCGCAGAAAAGTAACAGTGATGAAAGACTGAGTGGATGTAAGCATACATATAACAGTAAAGACGTTTCATAATGAAGGTCTGGTTCAGTGTGTCATATACGGCATTGTTAATTCATACTCATTATGATGCTACAATTACAAAGTGGAGCTAAAGATCTATTTAAGAAACGTCCAGAATATACTGGATATTTCCTTACTATAATTGCTTCACAAAATATTGTTTCTAATTCTAGAAAAAACAATATTTATAAATTTTTTAAGCTTAAAATAAAAATACCAATTTATAAGATGTTTTATATGTATACTTCATCAGGTGATCTAGTTTGAGCAATTCAAATAGCTGGGATCGTATTAAATCTATTTCTCTGTGTTTATTTTACATTTCCATTAAATTCATATTTCATAGCCACAGAACAGGATAATACACAGCCGGATGTTGTTGTTTATGCTGCTGTTGACAAGAATGTCCTGATGAAGAACAGACAACAAGTTGACGTAGCAGAGAGTGATGCCATCAAGGATAAAAATGGTGCAGATTCTCTCTCTCTCTCTCTCTCTCTCTCTCTCTGTAACAATTACAAATGTCACAAAACTCCTTTTGGTTATTCAATATGCCATTCACATAATAGTCTTTTGATTCACATTCTTTACTTAATAAATTGTCCAATTAAGAGTGCTTATACTCGTATATTTCTTCAACAGGTTTTTGAGTAAAGTAAACCATATTGTCAAATCGTCCGAAACACTATACTTTCTTATTGGTTTAAAGTCTGTTGTCTTGTCCAGTCATATGTGTTTTAACAATTCATTGTTGAATGACCGTTTCTATTGTGCACTCACACTATATAAGACCGTGTTTCAAACATATTGGTGGACTCCTCTCCTAGTGTCCACAACTCTGCAGCCTTACTACTTGTAAGCTCCTCTTCCCCTTTTTGAGCACATTGTACCAGTTTAGGTACTTAGTTCCTTGAAACAATCAAAAAATTTATTAAGTATTCAGGTTCCTATCCCTATATAATACTTTTAAATCACCGGCGCAATTATGATATAATTATTTTTTACATCTCAAACCCGAAAAAAATCATTAGTTCAAACATCAAAATTGCTGAAATTTCTAAATGAATAAATCAGGATTTACAAATTTAATTTATTTTTCAGATTTTTCCTTTATACAATTTTCATCCATCTCATTTTTCATAGATATTTTAATAGTTTTGTGCAATACAAGTACCAATTAATGGCATTTCATCTTTTCATCATATTGTAAGAAATAAATCATTATCAATCATTGTTATCTTTGTCTTGCTTTGAAGTTATTTGATATAGGTATCTCAGGATAAATCTCCCCTTGATCTTTACTGTTCCAAGAGCAAAATATACTATTATTCCCCTCTTGAAGTAGCAGTCGTCTTACACAATCACCAAACTATATCCTATTTTCTCATTTTTCGAAACACTAGAATTTAAATTATTTTTCTGATACGTTTACATACATGTACTTAATCTGAATTTTATTTTACAAATATATTCAGTATCATATGGTTTTCCTTAAATTTGATTCAGAGCAACGCTTCATCCTTTTATATATATATATATTTTTTTAATTCACAAACATTTAACCACTATATTTGTTCTAAGAAATGTATCCACAAGTATTTGAGAAAAATAGATGTTATGTTCCGTGAGTGTTCTTTTTTTTAATTAGATGACAATGAAACCCTGTATTCAGAAGTGATAAAAAAGCCAAAAATGCATAACCAAACAGATGCAAATAAGGAAGAAAAGAGAAAGAAAAATAAAGAAAAGGAGTTGCAAGGGAAGAAAGAAGAGACAGAAGCATCTAACAGGAATGACGATTCACGTACAATGGTAAGATGCTTATAACAATTAATATCATACGTTTTAGTTTAGACAAATTAAAACAATCCGTCTAAAGAGTTTCTTTGCAAACCGATCAATTTAAAGTTATAATAATTTGTTCGGTTTGGGATTCCTTAGGAAGTGGAGCACGCAGACTGAAAACCCAATCCCAAAACTGTTCGACAAAAGGAAACGATGGATATAACAACGAGGAGAACATGGATTTCGCGATAGTCAAAATGTCAGGAGAGAAGGATCCAAAGTGTTCACTTCATTATATGTACATGTATTTTCTACAATATCGTGTTAATTCATATACACTAAAACTGTAGTGAATGAATATGTCATCACCGATCCTAAAAGATCTTTCCGCCCCTTATTCCTCAGCTGAATCCTTTTTTATCAAAATTGAAATAAAATGCTTGCAATTATCACAATTCTCTTTGATAACTATACCAGAAAAGGTGTATTTTTGCCTTGTGGTTCTGCAGAGTCCCCTTTATCTAAAGAAAAAAATAGGGTATACATGTTAATAGTTTTTATCCTTTCTAAAACCATGTTATTCCCCTTTAGAGATAGACGTGATTCTGGAGTCCCCAACACTCCACTTTCTGCCTCTGTAGAGACTCAAGATCATGAGTATTTTTTAAAAAGAATCACATTCAACATGTATTGACCATTATTTTTGATCTTTTACAGAATCAAGACGGTTTAGTTTATATTGATGTTGAATTTGCAAAAAAGCCCCAAAGTTCAGACACAAAGGGGAGACCAGTCATACACGGAGAAGAAGAAAGAACGGAGTATACGTTCGTGGATTTTTCCCAAAAAGGACCTCCAAAAAAAGAACCACAAGATAACGTTAAGTAATCGTCTGCATTAGGAAAATGGCCAAAAATTTACCCTAATAAATCCAGAGACCGCTTAAATTTAAATATTTAGAAAAATATTATTCTTTAATGACAAAATAATCTTTCACTTCAAATATTTTTTTTAAATATTTTTTTTTATTATTTTGATAAATCTTGTATTTTGCATACGTTTATTACATTTGTAAATGTTCATATTTTGACATTGAATACAGACAATTTATTGTACATAGACCCAATTCAGCATTATATTTTCATAAAAATATTCTTTTTCACTGTATACTTTGCTTGGAATATGGAATATTGTTCAAACATATTTTTCTATTAAAAAAAATAATTGCAAAACTTTAATTACTGCAAATATTTACTGTGATCCAGGTTTGTGTAGTTCAAAGTCCCCATAGAAATTCTTGAAGCCACTTTAGAGGTTAAAATATTAAAATAGAAATATATAAAGAGAGAATTTTAGAGAAAAGCACGTATGTCATCTGAATGTCCGTGTTATCAGTGCTTGTTGAGCGTGACGTGTACTTATTCAAAACAGCACAATCACTCTAGGTCCTTCTTCTATGTTTGTGTGTTGTTGTGTTACAAAATTATGTTATACAATTGAAAAATTATTTCTCAAGTGGTATTTGCTCAAACTCAATGAACCAGTCAACTTGATATCTACAAGGCACGGAAAGGGTGTATGTGTGTGATACGTCATGAAGTTATTTGTGCAATTTTGAAATAGTCCAGAAGCTCTTGCTCTAAAAAGCCAACTATGCTTATCAAATTCATTTCTAACAGATACGAACTGATGTATGTAATTATTAACTTGTATTCAGACTTCCTGGTTGTTTCATCAACTTAAGCAAAACAAAAAGACGCTGAATGATCAAGTTATATCAAAATATTCTTTAAAAATTTCACATTTGTTCGTTCCTGACTTATAAGATAATTAAGGAATGGGATTCTTTATTTTGAGGGAAATTGTCGAAAGAAGTTGAACCTGCAAGAGTTCTAGTTACCTTTCTAGATGACACAAAAATGACATAAAATAAGTCCAAAGTGATGAAACAAGGGAAAAACTAGTCATAATTTAGTTGAAAGAATGTAGTATGCCTTTTCGTGTTTTTAAAGCGCCACGTATGCAAGAAATGAAAGATGAGGGAAACTAGTCCAACAAAATAACTGGTGGAAGGTTTCGATTTTTTCCAACATCTCAGAATGGCTTAAAATGAAGGTATTCCACGTATCAAAGCCAAAAAGAGTATTAAACTTAGCCACCGACTAACATGATAATGATATGCATGTAAGAAGGAACATTGTGTGTTCTCTTTTCAAATGATAAGTACTATACTCTCTGATACATTGCTAATACACTCTGTCTACACTTTAAGTAAGTACTGCAGCATTTACTCCGAGTGGATATATAATGACAAGACCTTAAAGTAATAAGGAACCTTCTTCTCATTCATTTCATAACACTGCTTAAAGAGGGGGTATGCGTTCTGTATTTGTATATCAGAGGCCGTTTGTCTAATGGTCTTCAATAAATGCCTAATTCAACTTTTATCAGGATGTCAGCAGCCAAGAATTCCCTTTTTATATCACATTCTGCTTTTATTCGTTTTAAGTATGAAAACTCTATATTTTCTGCAACTGACTGAAATGGTTTTGCTGAAGGTTTACTTTTTTATTAGTTGTTTTCAAGATTTTTTATAAACATGTTGGGCAATTAGGTTATTATAAACTAAAATTAAAAACAAAATCCTATAGTCTAAACCCATTCCTCTCTCCCCTTAAAAATAAAAATTGCACCGGTGTATTTTGGTAGCCAAAGTTCTTTAACATCCATTTATAGGATATAATAAAAGCGTATACACTACAATCCTATAAATCATGCGATATAATACTTAAAAAATAAATAAAAAAAAAATACTTATCTCGTGTTATCGAAAAATATTTTCATATTTTTTTTTCAAAAATCTTGAAAATTTGGATCGGTTGGTCTTGAAAAACAACAAATATAAAGAAGCCTAGATACTAAAGTTCATGTTTTTGTCAAACAGTACAAACAGTACAACCCAAATCCCCAACCCTCCCACCCCCTCCCCCCAAAAAATTTAATTTTAAGCTTTATTGCTAGTTTATCAAAGAATCTTACCAGGCATGACAAATATAGATATGTAAAACATATCAACATATAACATTCAAGCTTTTATATTAATACCAATTTCAAGCACACTCGATTTGAATTTGAATGCTAAGTTTAGGATTTTAAAATAAAAGAAAATGAAGATTTTTTAGAAACAACGTTTAAGCTGCATTTAACCACAAAAACATGACCTTCGCTTATGTTACAAAATTCCATTAAGAGTCATGGTATACTAAGTGAACTGAAGCTTTATAGGAAAGTTTTCTATCAATTAATATGCAGATATATTAAGAAACAAAAAAGGATTCAAAGATAGTTTTCGACAGAACGATACGTACATGCAGGTTAAAATGAAATTCAGTACTAGAACATGGAGCAAAATTTGTGACCCATCGCTGATGAAGATGGAAAATTTCTTAAGAAATCATAATAAAGAGATTTATCTATTCTATAGCATATAATTCTTTTTAAATATTACTTTACAGAACAATTTATACTCATGTACAAATGTTTGCTTCTGATGGCAACAAATAGCAATATACAAACATCCCATATGCAAGTAAGATGTGTTTAAGGAAAAACAAAACGGTCCGCTTCTGATTGGACAACTTCGTGTACACTTATTTAATCAAGAAAAAAAATCCTATGTACTTCTTGAGATTTTCTTGTAATATACATTCTAATAAAGTACTGAAGAGTTTAAAATCCTCTGTATTACTTACTTGGAACTACACAGCCCTAAAGCAATCAGGAACTTCTTTTTATCTCACTTAATAAAGCTACAGAACAGGAACAAATGATGTATAACCTTGGTATAACAGAGGTTAGTTGACAGATGTCTACTTTAACTAAAGAAGAGAAAAAAAAAGTTTTTTACGCATTTTCTATAGATTTGCTACTACATTTTGCAGTTATTTTATTAAACAACAAGTCTCTAACAAGACTGTGGCTATGTTTCTTTATGTTTGTACATACATGTACGAGGGGTTATCAAAAAGTTCGTGGACTAGCGCCTTAAAATTAAAACCGCTTTAGGTACATCAATGAATTTTAATACGTTTAGTTAGCATCATCTTTTCTATCGATAGAATAAACCATAAATCGTAAGTTTTATTTTTTAATAAATTGTTATTGTTTTTGTAAGCAATGGTATGTCCAAGCGGCGCAACCTCAAATATGACGTTTTTTCTACCTGAGTGTAACTGAGAAAAACTCTTTTGATATGAGCATTTGTCGTCAAAAAATCCGGTTAATCCAGGCAAGTGGTACAGCACAATTGTTCCGTAAAAATTGCAATTTTTACGCCATTCTGTAAATTCTATGAAATTTTATCGTAAATTTATATGGACTGTACAAACAATTAAGGGCTCAAAATGACGTCAAGAAGGGGGGGGGGTTTCTGTTTCCAACATTCTTTAAAGTTTCGCACCTGGAAAAACTGGTATAGACCTAGGGAATGTTTAAACGGGCTACAGAAAAATAAAACACATCCAGAGTACTCGTTTTAAATAGCCAAAAAGATTCAGAGAGATGAAAGATGCACAGTTAAAGTCAATTTGTAGTGAGGGTGTCAAAAATCAGTCACGTCGAAAAGTGACGTTGATCATGTGTGGTAGAAATTGAACTCCATCAAGCTAAGTGTTCAGTTATCATCAAATGAGGATCTTTCCTTATGTATAGATACATTTACAATATTATATGCATTGAAAGCAGCTGTTCATGACATTGTAAAGTCACATAAACAAGACGGACTTAAGTCCTTACTTAACTCCAGGTAATCACATCAAGATAAGTGTATAAGGTAGACGGAGTGAACATTGAGAAACAATGACGTTGTCGGACGTCATGAAACTAAACGGCGACAGCGCCGGGTGATCATATAATGTCTTTTTTATTTTAGAATAATTTGGCAAATTTTCAATGTATCAAGTTAAAATTTTCAACATTTCTTAAACTTTTGTTGATTTATGTTTTTCATAAATTTTGTAAGCACAGACTACATAGTAGTAATTTTATCGCATCAGTCCACGAACTTTTTGATAACCCCTCGTATAATTCATGTACAATAAGAGAAAAGCAGCACTGGTACTTGGACTTGAAACTATGGCAATGCTAATAAATAGAATAAATATCCCTAGTCTCTGACTAGTAGAGCTTATAAAATAAACCTCAGACAAGCATAAGAGTCACTTTAGTATGAAAGGATTGTCATTACAAAACCATTTTAGCCCCACATCGATCTGGAACTCAGGGGATCCTTGTAAGGGGTTCAAAGTTAAGTATAATCAAAAAGAAATAACCTGCTTTATGTGATGGGATAAAATTTCAAAGATTTACCGGATTGACAATATAAATCAAGCCTCATCCTCAATTTAGGTCATATTTTTGAACCTAAAGGTTTTACAAAGAATAGCGAGAGGTTTCGCTAATCAATGTGTACGTGTAGCAACGGAAACGTGTGCGTTACGTCTTCACTTTTCCTTATGATGAAATTCTACACGAGAGCAACGCAAATGACCTCATCGTGAAAAAAAAAACCTTGATTGCAAATAAACAAAATTTCACTGAAGTCAACTCCTGGAAATGTTCTACTCGAAGACAAAAATTTAAAAATAAAAGGTTTTTTTCTGATAAAGAAATACTCACTGAACTGTGTTCATTGTTGATAAAAACTTAAAGCAACACAAGGAGCCAAAATTAAGTTCTTTTATGTCTTCCTTGTTTGAAAAGAAAACTGTTATTTCATTGTTCAATAGATAATCCTTTGAGTCTCTAATTATACAAGAAAAAAAATTATGTAGTAAAAATAAAAATATATGTTGTAAGAACAAATTTCCTTTCCCCATATTACTATTATATGTACCCGTATTACAAATAAACACAGAACTAAGTTCTGAAATATTACAACTTCTGACTCCAGACAACTGCATGCAGTGAAAGTATA